TAAACAACTGTTTTGATATTTTCCAGTCAGGTTTTTGACCACACCACGGCACCGAGACTGCTTTTGTTGAGGTTTTCAATGTCATCTTCTAGTGGCAGAATTTCAGTCTGAAAACTGGGTGGGACTTTCTTGCACAGAATTAACCTGGTTTAATCAATACTTAGAGTATAAGGACTACTTTGTGTCTATAGGTAATCAAACATCTTTGCTGACAACAATGTCACGTGGAGTTCCCCAAGGCTCCATTGTGGGGCCTCTTCCATTCCACATCTACATACTTCCACTGGCTCAGATAATGGAAAACAACAAAATGTGTTACCATAATTATAGTATCACCTTTACAATATCTCAAAGATTAAAGGACTTATGTCTCAGTGGGATCAGGATCGGACGATGTGGAAAGATGAAGAGGTTTACTCTCTCCGCCTTAGGCGTTCCACGTAGACGCATGGAAGAGGCTTTCTGCATAGGCCCGAGGAAAGGAAGAGAGGCCCCAGAACAGAGCCATACTGCAAAATATAATACTGTAAATGTAAATAAAGTTTTCTTTGACTAAAATGTTCCTGACTCAACTACTATTGGTTTATAAAGCTCTGAATGGTTTAGAGTCTAAATGCATTTCTAATCTTCTGCTACCATATGAACCATCCAGACCTCTCAGGTCATCTGGGACTCAGGTCCCCAGATACATAGAGAAGCAGCTTTCAGTTTTTATACACCATATATCTCAAACAAACTCCCAGAAAACTGCAGGTCTGCTGTAACACTCAGTTCCTTTATATCAAAACTGGAGACTATTCTGTTTGCCACTGCCTTTTATTATATCAAATAATTATTAATTTCTTACACTGCACTGCAACTTTTATTCTTGTGTTTTACACCTGCCTTTTTCTATTTTAGCTTGTTTTTATCTAGCAAACAAATGGCATCTCCAGAGTCCATCTAATACTGATATGGTATTATGCTAGAGATGGTTGTGTATTCTAAGAAATGTACCTCTATATCTGTAATGTGTGACTTATGCGGTTTTTTGGCAGGTCTTAATATTTAGATCAAATTTGCAAGCCTGTATGAAAAATAACTATACAATAAATAATTACACTCATATGAAATTACAACTATTTAAAAATATTTCTTATGTATGTTACACAATAGCTATTGACAGATTTTAATGCAAACAGCCTTATTAACCCCATCTAATAATATCATCATTCTGATGCTGTGCAGCTATTTGGAGCATTTGTTTCAGGCTATTGTTCCTGTTTTCATGGTCCAAAATAGACAATGAACAAAGCATGGCCTGGATGCCAGTACTTTTCCACAAGGACAATATCATTACTTTCCTCCAGTATAGAGGGAGGGTATGAGTTGGGTGGGGGTTAGTGGAGGAGTAGGCAAAGCATATAAAAGACGTGGAATGATGAGTGACAAAGAAAATTCAAACTAGTTTGAATTACAGCGCTGTCAAACCCAAAGTGTGTGTTGTGTCTTACAGCAGTGGTGTAAACACCAATGACAGAGAGCTGAGCCTACAGCTTTGATACAATCAGAGGAAATACAAACACAGTTTATTGTGCACAAGTAGAGTACAGTATCTGTTAGATGAGTTCTATTACCTGAGACCTATCCACCTGCACAACTTAGCGTTCCCTTTTTTAAATGTCACTGTTGTCCGTGGCTTCATATGAGTAGAGAAAAAAGTCCACTAGCTGCTAGACTAATTTATACAATGTAAAATGCTATAGGCTTGTACTAAAAACATTAACATACTGTATTTGTGGGGAAAATGTGTCCAGCAAAAGACTAGTGTTTGTCTGTGAATGCTGCGAGTTATAGTGAAGCCAATTGTGTTTGAAATTGTCTCTATTAAGCCATGTTTAATGTGTGTTTTGAATCAGCTAAACTTTATAACACATCACAGAAACCCTGCAGCCGACTAGTTTTTTGGAAGTGTAACTGCAGAGTGACACTGACTGACCACTGCACACCCCTAATGCTCACAATGATGTAGGGTTTGCAGAGAGCTGACGCACAAGTATAAGCTGTCCTACCTTCATTATAAGACTCAAATATATTTTGTGGCTCCAGACAGATTTTTTTTTTCTCCTTTTCACTTATTTTGGCGAACAATAGGTCTAGTAAAGTTTGCTGACCCCTGCTCCAGTCCTATCATCAAGTCAAAACTAGAATTTGGTGCTATTTGCTAATTAGCAAATGTTGGCATGTAACCTTGCTAAATTAAAACATGTACACATACTTTCCACTACTGAAAATAGGTGCACTGATGCCATAGGATCAGTAACTTTTCAGGGACAGAGAAGACATGGATCAGCTCAGAAACATTACAGTGATCCACTTAATCAGTGACTTGACACATGCTTGAAGGCATGCATCCTTAAGCAGAGGTGAATTAAGTCCATCTTGTTTAAAAAAAAGTCAGTCATTAACAGAGTAAAAAATGCACAATCACATCTTCCTGCACAGGTTAACGTTGACACTATCAAGAGACGAATGTGCTCTTCCTAAGATTAAGTGAGGATCTGAAGGTGGGGTTTTCAGGTGAAACTACAAGCTTTCCATTTAGCGAATTAATGATAAAGTTATTTATTCACCTGCCTCAGTCAAGGCACCTGCTAAAAACCTGTCAGAAAAAGTAGGCCAAGGTCATTTGCTCAATTTGGTCCCAACTGCTACCCACACACACTCTCCTTTAGAGTGTGCGTGCTACATTTTAACTCGCTGTGATGAGGAGTCATAGCACATCAGTGACATGACATTTCATGGTCTGCAAATGCCACAACAGTGTTGGCTGTGTTGCTCTTAAAAACACAGTGTATTTGTAAACACATTATCTAACCATATGAATCATTATATTGCTCGCATCTATGCTTCCTAAAAAAATAGAATAAAATCTTAAAGTACAGGCTCACAGATTAAATCCACTTTTACTCACTCGTGTAAAATTACAGAGATGTGAGAAAACTGAGGATAGAGGAATGTATGGGCCTAAACTGGTAAGAAGTGGAGATTTGTAAGCCACTGATCCTGGCTTTTTGATTGGCTGCAAGAAGCCTGAAATCAGCCAATGCTCTTTTGGCTCTGAGCGGATTAATAAGGCCGTGCTGGGGTTTATGTAACCCTTGGTCAACAACAAGCCCCCAAAACATATATTGTAAACACTGCATGGGAGGGTGGGTTTGTTGCAGCCCAAGCCCGGTATGAATTCCTTCATACCTCTTTAGAGGTTTGAAGACATCTAATCACATGCAGGAAAAAGCTGCAGAATATCACTGACACATAATGCAGTCATTCAGGAGTTGTAATAACCGACATAACCACAAGTGATTAATTGCGAAGTTGGGTCCCTGACTAATCATTTTGCTCTCTCATTAGAACAGATGTTGAGATGTCTTTGGAGCCAGCTGATGACCACGTGATCAAAAAGTAATGTTTCTGGGGTTGTAATACTCTTTAGTCCACCACAAGTCAACAAGTTACGTGACTTTACAAGAAAAAAACTTTAAAAGGCCGCTTTGTTTCGTTCATGTTTAGCAAAACTGACTTTATGGGAGAAACACTGTAAACTGGTTATATCTTTGTAAGGCTCCACTGCAAAACTGTCTTGTTACCTCTGCTTTCTGGTTGTATTTGAATGCATTGCTTATAATGTCATGTCTCAGGGCATATGAACTTTAGCTGTATCTCTTGTTCACACTGAACTGAATGCAAATGGAATGAAGCTGTGCTTTCAGTCACACTTACAACTGCTTTTCTTAAGGTTAAATATGTATAATGGGCATCCACGTTTAAACTGGATGTTATTTTTGTACACTGGTCCCCTGAAAAAGAGATACAGATCTCAACGAGACTACCTGTTTAAATAATAATAAGATTAAAATTAAAAATTAAGAAATGCTCCTCCCTTATCTCCTCTGTCACATAATGAATAATGAGAACACATTTGTCATTTTGTCTCCACAGAAATTTTATTTCCAGTCTCTAAAAATAAAATCCATAAAAATAACAATGTATATTCTCTCTGAAAGAAAGAAAGATATTTAAAGCTCTTTCCCATACAGCAATCATCCATCGTCAATCCTCCATGTGTTATGCATCATTTATGCCTGACATTAATAAGGACTGGCCTGTCACATTATGACACTGGCGTTGTGGACTGAGGTCATTCAACACTGTTGTAAAAATTCCGAAAAACACATAAAAGACAATATTTTTTTAATTTAATTTTTTGTAGTCTGGAGGTCGGGGTGTTGAGATAATGACCAGTCCAGAAGGCCAGCAATTTTGAAACGTGAATGTGTACCCTGAAAATGTACTACATAACAAAAGCTGTTTTATCACATGGCTTTAAACAAACTTGGTATTCACTGCACGACATTTTCAGGACGTAAAACTGAATTCTTTGTTTTTAATTTTTTTTTTTTTTCACTTTAGCATTGCACACTAAGACACATTTGGTAAGAGGTTTATAAAAGATGCACTTCAAACAAGATTAAATGCACCGCAGTGCCCTAAAGGTACATTGACACACAGTAGATACACAAGAGATAGCCTGCGATAGAAGACATGTATATTGTAGGTGATCCAATGAGCCCTGAATTATATTGTAGGTTAACATAATGCAACAGATTCGACTTTTCAACAATGTGAAACATAAAATGAGATATGCATAAAACATAAATTGATACGGAATCATGAGCATTGGTACTTGTGGCTTATTGTTATGATACAACAGTAGTGCATAAAAAGTATAT